ATGTCGAATAATTGCATTCGAGCCTTCTTAGTGGGCTAAAAATATCGAAACGTTTAAGTGAACGTCCTGCGCACATTAAACGGACCCTTAAGAGTAAACGGATTGCAATAAAGTTATTAATAATAGAAAAAAGAAAAATTCGGCGCATCTTGTCGTGTCCACAAGGCTGCATCTAGGCATACGCACGTTTTAATAATTGTACGCCCACTATGCTCGTTAACGATCCGAATCTTCTTAAAATGTTAGAAATGGAAAATCGAGAGCGTGGATCCCTTTCGCGCGTTCTCACATACATTATACATATATATATATAATATATCGTGTACTTGCGCGGGCATACAGCGAGCCCTGTCGAAGTCTTCCTATCGGAATATCTACCTTGAGTAAAAGAATGGTAAACGAATATATATATGTATATATATATATCAGACACAATGTGCACGATCTCCAGGAAGAAAAAATGGTGAATCCTCGAGTTGGCGGCCCTTTCGGGGAGCGATGGAACAGTTAAATGGAACTGCGGATCTTCTTTTTTTTTTTTATCGAGTCGACACCTTGTTTACCAGGTGAGCCATTTCCCTCGAGAAATCAATTTACGTGGCGAATGAAGCATTTCAGAAGAGAAAAAACAAGTCAAATGAAAGTCTCTTTCCGAGGGAGATGTTCAACGATAATGTTCATCCATTGTTTCAAGTTCATCTTCGTGTTGCAGAACGGCTCCAATTTTTCTGCGATAATGATACCCATAATATCAAGAAACTTCCATCCCATTAATAAATGCAATGTCGAGATTTTCTCATAATGCGTATTAAGAAATGCATTGAAGTTAGAGGTCGGCATTTTGAATAATTGTTGAAAATGAGGAAGACGATCAATTCCTTACAAAGGCTTATTGATGTTAATAGTTAATCGGGTCTATTGGAGAAGGCAACTCGGAGTGGGATATTCTTGACAGTATTTTTATTATTGTCTTGAAAAATGGAAGCCGTATAAAAAAGTGTTATTACCTTCCCTTATTCCGTACAACGGAATAACAACATGGGGTGCCCATTTAAACAACTAAAGCTGATCTTGATATTACCCGAAAAATGAACTTGGAATAAACAATGAATACTATTATTATATTCTCCGTGGAACATTTATTAGACATTTTATTCTCTAAAACGCTTCGCTTGTCATATATGTATGTCTCAGTGTCTCAAGGTAAATGTCTCACCTGGTTTATTTATATATGTATATATCTATATATTGTGCACATTGTAAATTGGAACGTCTCGAGTCGTATTCCTATCTTCGCACAGGACGATCCTTCGTACCTCTCGAGATATCTATATAGTGTGGTGCGTTGCATAGTGTAACTGCGTAATTTACAATCGTGCAAGTGCAAAAACGACGCAATGGTCGGAACTTAAGTAGCTACTCCCTTTCCCAAGACGATTTCGCCCTTCGTAACGCAACTATTACATCCGAGTTCGATAGTCATAGTTTCCATTCGCTCCGAAACGAAGGATCGGCCTATACGCGTATGCATCTATAGTTCGTATGTACAAATTGTAAAATATATCGTTAATGAAAAAGTGTTCTTTCTTCTCCTTAGCAGTGTGGATGTATAGGTATAATCTCTTTAATTCTCTCTCTCTCTTTCTCCCGTTCACGCACGCATGCTCGTTCTTTCCTCACGCACCCTTTCTACGGAACACATGGTCACTTGCATACCATTTTGTACACGATTTTCAAGGTCAGTTCATCGTGGAATCGCGATTGCGTCTAATATATCAATTTCCTACCGTACCGGAAACGCGACGGCGTCGTTTCCCGCCATCTTCGAGGATCTTCGGTAGAATCGCGTCGTTTTGGGGAGAAATCTGGAAGCGTAACGCGAGGAGATTCCCAGGTGACTTTTCGCACACTTGGTTAATCGAAGCCGTAGTTCCTTAGATTTTCCAAGTTTACGGGAAAAAACTGGCCGGAACTTTCGGCCAAGGGGCCTCCGATTCATCGATATTTCCTCCAAACCCTTTATGCGCGTCCTTAGTTACCAAGAAGAACAAAATGGCGCGCTGCGTCCTACCATCGGCCTACCACGTGAAATTCCCTTAGAACTCGTTAAAACATTATATTGGCTTGGCTAAAAGTCTCGCGACATCGACACAATTATTATCATCTGTTGAACTTCAACATCGGTCAATGATATTATATCATATTCGCCTTTATTTATATCTGCGCTCATCGGGCAGCTTCTCGACGCCCCGAGTTCTTCGAGAAGATTTGAAAGAAATGAAAATATAAATTGTCGCGGGACTGTTTAGCCATACCCAATATGTTCGGTAAATTTTACAATTTTATTAGTTAAGAGGTATCCTTCTAGTTAATATTTCTGGGCAGTTCCTTGTTATAGCTTTCAAGAATGGTAGGAAGTCCCGCCCGGAAGCCTAAGTGGTAAAAAGTCACCGTTGGAATCCTTCAAAAGTCCCGGAGGACTTTACGTAAATCCGGATGTGTCTATACTTCCGCATCCGGGGTTCCATTTGGCAATTTATGAAATACGAGGACCTGGTGAAATTATTATGGGATCCTTTCGTCCATGAATCTACGTTAAAGCTCGATTTCGGAGGACTGAGCGCTACATCTGCATTTCCTTCTTTTTCCCTCTTTCTATACATGTATATCTCTTTATCGTAGAAGAGGATTCGATGAACTCTCATGTATCACAAAAATAAAGATGAATCCACTGGTGAAGGTTCATCTCCTGCTAGCTCCTAGCCGCGTGTAGATTAAAACGAAAGTGGATTGTAATTATCGTTGATCATCCTATCTTCCTTCAGACGAGGATCCCATCGTTGGCACCGTTTCTCATACATTCGTGTAAAAGGAGATTCTATTGGCATAAGGATTAATTACTCTGCTAGGAAGCTCCGGGAACTTTAGCTTTAAGAGTCCCGTCTGCCCAAACCGGTGGAATCTTTTTGCGGGTACTTGACGACAGCAGGAATTCAAAAGAGAGAAAGAAAAAGGAATGAAAGAAATATGAGGGGCGTAATTGACTTCTCCCTTTTTAATAAGCTGCCTCGTCGTGGCATCGCAAAATAGCTTCATTTCGTCTCGGGGATTTTCTTTTTTTTTGCCCAACTTACGATTTCATACCCAAGAGATAAAACATCGAAGCGCTTGAAAAAGGATTGACCCTTAAATTTACAAATTTATATACAGTAAAAGAAAGACAATTAAATTGGCTCATTTTGATCCAATATCATTACGCCATTAATGTGTACTTTGCATATGCAATTTGGCACTTTACCATATTTAATTTGTAGGTACTTGGGATAAATACATTTATGATCTGATTGCGTTGATTCGAAATCACCCAATTTCCGTTTAAGGATTAACCACGGCTCTTTCGGATGCGGATAATTAGATGAACGTTAAGAGAATTCCTTCGTTTTTGTTCTACGGTTCGCGAGATGCGGCAGATCTGATTTTGCGTCATTACTCCAATTACAACGAGTGCTTCTTAAAGTCGAGGAGAGCGATTTAACGGATGCTCCCTTTCCTGCTGATAATGAAACGCCTAAGAAGTGACGAGCTCCAAACATGGACTCCGGCAGCACAAAATGGAACAAAGAAGACCCTTAAGAACCCGAAGAACTCTCTGGCAGTCTTACATCTCCCAAAAGGACATCTACCAAAGTCGCCGATGGTGGCGTCGCCTCGAGATAACGCAAGATAAAGCTATGGCCACATTACAGCCAATTGTATGAATTCGGATCAGACAAGACATGTCCGACTGAAACAGATGCATTGCTTCTTATAGACGTAGCTACACTTTGTGAATTTCTGATCTGGTCCGATTTGATAAGGACAAAGTCTACAAGAAGCAGAGATCGGCGTAATTGATATTGACAACTATTTAATTACTGATTACATTTTTAATACGCAATTGACGGAAACTCGATTGCATCCTTGGTTTGTAATTTACAGAAAATCAATTGGCAGTAACACTTTTAATTTCTAATCCATTGGGAATAAATTACTAATTAGATCTTTAATTCCTAACGTAATGTCATTTATTAGTAAGAAATTTCTACCTCGTCTAATATGAAGTTCAATATAGAATTTAAGTTTGCTGCGGAGGAGTAACACACAATCGCGAGTCAACGTTGATTATCAACTAGAAATGAAACAATTAATCGATCATTAAATTTCAACTCGATTCCAAATTCAGAATGAAATCGGTAATTGGCCTCCTGTAAACCAATTAAAAGATATAATTTGTAGTTGATCTCTCCCATATACCGAAATACTATTTGATACTTCACTTTTAACCAATTCCAATTAAGTACACGATTAAAACTTCCTTTCGCTCGCTAACGAAACATGTAATTGGTCACCTATGTCGAATCACTTCCAAATCATTATTCAATCGGATTTCCTTCAGTCACGTAATTAAAATGTAATCTGCAATTAAACACGTAATTCAATTTCCAAACTAATTAACGCTGCTCAACCCCGCTAGGAAGTAATATGCGTGTTTCAGCGAAAGTATTCCACGTGGACCTCGCCGACTTTGTCGTTCTCGTCAACTTCGTCAACGTTCAGGTGACCATTGATGTTGGTTGTTAATCTCGGGAATAAGCACGTATAAAAAGGGCACGTGTCTTCCGGCTCGATGCGACATGTCGCTGGAAAACATGTCGGAAGCAAGAAATTCGATGAGGCACACCTGAGACTCTTTGCTCATCGGTCCGATCTGGTCTGATCTGGTCTGGATCGATCCTAGTGTTCCGACCGACCGTAGCCTAGCTGTAGCTTAATTCTCGAGGCGATTCCGGTGCGACGTCGCGATTCTGAACGTGATCGAATGGCCGGCCATCAGGACGCCGAAGTTCGACGCCTTCGAGGCCCTCGAGGGCGTATTCGCGGCTCCTTCAGACGGAGGAGCGGCGCGATTGGTGCTGCAACTCGAGGGCCAAAGAAGGCAGCGTCCTGGTGGACGGGTGTCGTCAAATGCTGGCTCTGTGCAGGTGCAACGGGAGCTGCAGCAGCGGCGTCGAGGGTGGCAGATGCAGCTCGGTCACGTTAAGGGCTGGCAGAGGCTGCATCGGCAGCAGGTGGGAGATCTTCCCCGGGGAACGGCGCACCGTAAATCGCGGCCTCCGCCGCCTCTTGTAGAGTCCGCTGCACCTGCAGCTGCAGACCGACGCGTTGTCGTCCAGCGATATCGTCTCGCCGTGGTTGCCGACCTGGCCTGACAGTATCGAGCCGTTTGCCGTGATCACGTCGCCTTCCAGGCGAACCGCACCCTGGGCAGCCTTTGGCAAAGAGAAAAGGAATTTCAATCATGGTACTTATCGAGCGTCCTATCCCATGTAGAACGCAACATGGCGGAATATTTATCTATTGTGTGAACATTGGCCAACATGTAGCCGATAATAATTTGCATATGTTGGAATTCATTTCTATTTTAAATATTGAAAAGCAAATGTAAATTAAACATTTGTTGGATATTGTATGTCGCAGTCCTTGTTTACATATATCGTTTCAATGTTGAAGTTATTGCAAATTTCATGTTTTAAAGCCAGTATATTGCATTGCCACGGAAAGACTATATTGCTTCTAAGCTGCTATTTATATATGCACTTGATAATGGCAATATGATGAAAATTCAATATGATACTCTAGTTATATATTATATTCCATATTCTTTCATCAATTTCACTCTGACATTTGCAATCCAATATCGAGCAATATCGAATATTGGTCCATTGTGTGAACATTGGCCAGCATGTAGCCAATAATAATTTGCATATGCTGGAATTCATTTCTATTTTAAATATTGAAAAGCAAATGTAAATTAAACATTCGTTGGATAGGATTGATATAGATTGGATATCCTCATATTTTTTTTTTATATGTTTATATAAAACTGCATTTCCACCAAAAAGGGTGTAGATGAATTTTATTTTACCGACGTCGATTAAATTTCGGAGTGTCTTTCATATCAATTTAACTGAACTTTTGATCGGTTCATGAACGACACTTACTTGTAGAGCTTCCGCTTCGTCCCGCCTTTCATCCTCCGTGTTCATCGTGACGAATCGCAAGACGAGGAGATTCAGCGAAGCCGCCACGATGGCCAGCCCGAAGAGGATGAATATCAGAGCGAACATTACGTATTCTGGCTTGTTGTTCAACGCATTGTCCTTCTGAAGAGCGACCATGTCGCCGAATCCAATGGTGGTCAAGGTGATGAAGCAGTAGTACACGGAGTCGAAGTAGGACCAGCCCTCGTACTTGGAGAACGCCGCGGCTCCCCCGGCGATGGTTAAGCTCGACAGGGTCGTCACCACGCAAATTAGATTGGTCTCCGAGGCCTGGAAGAAAAACAGACCTTATCGACCCCTTCCCCTTCCTATTCGCCGTGCTTTTTCGGGAATCATTCCCCCGCGACTCTCCGTGCCGTTAAGGGGATGTGAAAGTGGCATCCGAAAGCTCAATCGTTCATAAAACTTTTCTACGAACTGGGTGTCTCAAATCTTTTCATACTTAAAACGTGATTATGGAGACCCTAAGGTAGGTCCTGAAACTGGCGAAATTTCATTTTTTATAAACTATTTTTAAAATACCTATAAACAAATTTGAAAAGAATTGAAATTCCATGAGTTTCAGGACCTTCCTTATAGTCTCCCTATTCACATTGTAAAGTTTCAAACTATTCGGTAAACCGAGTTGGGAGAAAAGTTTTATAAACAATATCTCTTCGACGCCACTTTCACATCACCTTAAGGGCGCTCACCACTCCGCCGATTTTGCAGGTCCTCAAGGGGACAACAATTTTCAGCGTATAACCGATCGAGAACAACGAGTGTTGGAAGAAACATGCGAATGAACTTTCCCTTTCGCTCAGAAATTGATTAATCTTGATTGAATATTAATTTGGTGCATTTTCTCTGATCCTTTTAAGTGAAACTTCTTTTGGCAGGGGGTAAGCCTAATTCGCGACACGAAAAAGCGTCACGATGAAGAATATGGTGATGGGGAGGAAGTACAAAATGTGATGGTGTATGGAACTAGATATTGTTTCTCTGCTACGCCGCACCTTTTCTCTTCTTATCTGCTTATCTGTATCTCTCTCTGTATTTGTTTACAGAGCACTAAGCTGTACCTCGGCCATTCTCTGTTTGGGTTTTTTCGACCGAAAACGAGAAGGCATGGCCAGGGTCCTTTCTTAATTCGTCCTGAGTTTTCAGTCTTCCGGGGAGAGTCCTCGGACGCGGTTCGCGTTTGACGAGTACATTTTTTTTTTTTTCCGAGAGTGCTAGTGATTTTTTAGTGCTCAAGTGAAAAGCTGCGACAGAAGCCGGCAAGTTGAATCGACATCAACGTCCAACATGCAGTTACGAAGATTCGAGCCTTCATTCATCGAAAAGGTTTGAGTGATTCCGATAGTTTTCTTTTCACGCCCGAGACCGAGATTACTTTTGTCTTGCGAGCATCCTTGCTTTTGTTTTCGCTCGCAAGAACCCCTCCTCGGACGTCTAGAATTCCCTCGTCCTTCTCCTAATCTTCGGAACGATTTGCAGATGATTTTCTCCCATCCGAAGACTAGTTTTACTTCGTCTTGATAATATCCTTACGGAAAGTTTCGCTTTCAAGAAACTCTTCCTTCCTCGGGTGGATAACAGTTTGGGTTTCTCTCGGTAAAGATCGATTACTAAGGGGATGGCCGCTTCTATGAGAAACGCATTCACGCATGCAAACTTTCCTCAGTGTAGGGGGTCCCAATTTCAATTCCCTCCAGGTATGGGGCAAGTTAATCAACCGTGCATAAATAACTTTTTTCTTTAATTATTTGCAAAAAATTGAAGAATCATGGACTGCAATTAATGTACCTAATAAATGTATGCCCTACGTTTCGATGTATATCGTCGAAAATTCTCATTATCTTGCTCGGAATTAAGCATTACCGAAAAAGTTGATCAATTTGCCCCGGTCTCCCCTAAATTGTTTATAAGGAATCAACGATATTTACACTTGGAAAAAGTGGAGAAGTTTTATGGAACAGTTGTTAGGATTTTATAAGAGGACAAAATAGAGTCAATTTAAAGTCGCTATGCTAATTGAATAGGGATCGAGGGTGTCAAAGAAGGAGCGCGTCTTAGGGTAGAACTTGTCGACTTCTTCAGGAGACTTCGTAGGAAATTGGCGCCGAGAGACCAGTCGTTTTACCTGAACATCTTTGCAGTTCAGCAGACGTTTCACATTCTGTATAACGACGGATGAGAACTTGTTCAAACGTTCTCCTATGCTCTGGAACATCACGAGGCCCATCGGAATCCCCACGATGGCGTAGAACATCGTGAAGAGTTTTCCGCTTATGGTGTTCGGCGTGGAGTGTCCATAGCCTGAGGACATTTCGACATGTTTTACTTCCGTTAAAAAAGAAAGACTTTAAGATGATGCCGAACCTTCCTACTATTACCTGCTAAAAGGCGACAGGAGTTCACAAAAAAAAAAAATAAATAAAAAAAGGTCACTTCTCTTCGACAAAATGGAAAATAATTTGTCCAATACGATAGATAACTAACGGATGAACGGAATGATTATCCAAATCATAAAAAAATCGAGATACAATAAAAATTTACAGATTCTGTTACTACCCAAATCGTCATTAACGGCGAATCTATGCCCAAATAAAAGCATCCGGGATCTTCTCACGTTTGGGATGACCGTACTTCCGTGAAGAAACTGTGATAAATTGCTATTGAACCATTTCAAAACAAATTTCAAATAGAACAATAGATAAAATCTGTGAACTCGTTTCGCCCGGGCCATTCACGCCATTATCAATTATCAATACGAACAGTGAAAATAGGCGCTGGTCCCTAAAAGTATAATAATATGATACAATTACGAAAAAAGAAAAAAAAAAAGAATAACCGAGGGGCTATTCGCTTGAAAATCAGTGAAAACGATTTCCTTTGTGAGTCGACTGCCTCTGATTTCGTATGATAAACAATAATATTGGGAGAAGGGACTTAAAATTGTGGCAATGTTTTTGGCGATTTCCAGTGATTTCTGCTTGCGATTTCAAGCGTTAAAATCCATAATTTCCTGAATGAATACCCCCTCGAGAATAACTGAACAAATTGTAGTGGCTTTTAATGTTATGCTTTCTCAGGATAGGAATGGAAAAAAGCTAGATTTAGAGAAAGCAAACATTACCAATAGTAGTGAGCACCGTGGTCGCGTAATAAAAAGCTCCGGCGAATTTCCATTGCTGGCCAGCCTTGTGTGGTTCCGTCTTGAGCACCACCGTTTCCATGATCTTGAAGTCGTCTTCGCTAATGTTGTACTTGCGTATTACCATTTTCTCAATGGCTGGAAGACGAAGGGCTTTCATTAGTACGAGATCTCGCGATAATTCAACGCCGGAGGGCATTAATATGCAAACCGTAGAAGACATACAATGCCTGAAAAGAGCGCGACATCGCGCTACGAGAAAAATCCCATCAGCCTTTCAGTTAAAAGGAGGTCGATGGTGAGACGTTTTAAATAAAGCGAGGAAATTGTATTTACCTCTAGTTCTTTATTATAGTCAAAAATAGCTGCGATTAATCTGCTGATTCCTTTACTCGGAGTGCAAACCGACAATTAGTAATACAATTACACTGAAAGAGAGTTGAAGCCTCGGAAGAAAGGACGGAAGATCGTTCTTTTAAGCTGCCTGAACAGAAATACTCGGATTAAAAAAAAAAAAAAGAAAAATCTAATAGAAACGTGATTGAAAACATGATTTAGTAATCGCAAATAAATTTAATTTTTACTTTACGTTAAGAGGTTGCACCACTTTGAGTAATAAAAAAGAAATTATGTTTGAGGATTCTTCAGAAAATAACGAATAAAATGAACTATCTGCTAATGAGCATTTATGGCACATCTATTGAAGTACATGAAATACACTTTCATATGATATCTGCAAAGCAGAAGTACCGAGAACAAGAAAAGAAAAAAAAAAGAACATTGTATATGTATGACATTTACTGAAGAAATATATGGAGGTAGGGATTCTTTAAAGTAGGTCTCTTTCAAGAATACGGTGAACATTTGAAGAAACATGACAATCTTTCCCCTAAAAGTTTAGTATAAAAACTTGTTAATTCATCGGAAAAAAAAATTCCACCTATTTCTTTACTAAATGTAACGTAGAATTGGAGCATTTTTTAGATTGAGCATTGAGGTGAGCCGAAAATGCCTCGGATGACCATCGATCGGGCCAGCGGGGATTTTGTGAATTATCGAAGCGTCGCGACGCTTTTAACTTTGTCCAAATCGAGTTTAGGACTCCTTTGGCGAGAGCGATCGATGGATTATTTAGCTGGGAAATTCAGTCTTCGTTTTTGGTCCAAGCGAATTCGGAGCGGCCGTCTGGGCAAGAACTCGCGTCTATCGGGGACATGATCGGCTTCATTGAAACTATCTTCGGGAATACTTGTTACCGTGGTGTACCGTCTTGCGGTGAGCGTCGTTACGACCACTGTTACAGGCGATGATAATAGCCGAGGCTTATCAGGAAGGGAAGGAACGGGGGGTTGCCTCTTCGGCGCATCCGGTATCGATTCGAGGCGCGAAAAGCGGTTCCGCTATCGGCAGTTTCAATTTAACGCTTTCCCCGCATCAACGTCAATAAACGGCAATTCCGAATCGCCGTCGACATAGGAGAGGAATGCCTGACCGATTTTAGCTCCATCTAACTACTCGCGAAATCCTCTCGGCTCTGGTTATTCAATTTGTAAAGCAATTGTCGTAACGCTTCGAAGATGTCGGGAATAGATTGGGGAATCGGCACGACCGATGGACAGAACAGCATGCGCATGACTTATGCATTCGGGGGTTACGGTGGACAATTCGGAATGCACGTTCAGGAAATTAGTAAGTCATCTAAAGTATTACTAACTTATGCTGTGTCACGAGAAATGAAAATAACAAGTGAACGGCTGATTTGAGAAACGCGAAACCACTGGCGAGGTATTCGTAGTATCTACGGAAAGCTCCTACCGTATCACCGCGGGTTTTCCAATTTTAATAAATAATTAAGAAATTAGTAAGTCATCTAAAGTATTACTAACTTGTGCCGTGTCACGAGAAATGAAAATAACAAGTGAACATTTGATTTTGGAAACGCGAAACCATTGGCGAGGTATTCGTAGTATCTACGGAAAGCTCCTACCGCTTCACCGCGGTTTTTCCAGTTTTAATAAATAATTCATAACGTTTGTTACAACTGGCCCGTGTTACAATTGACCTGGGTCTCTCCTACAATTCTTCGAGTTCGATAAAAAAAAATCCCGATTGAGAGGAGACTCTGCCTCTTCCTGGATGTATCTTGAAATCAGCTATCGAAACCGAGTACGTCAACGCCATAACCGATCCAATATTCCCGGAGTTGTAACCGAGTTTATACGCTCTTATTCGGAGGAGTACTCGGATGCACTTCGCCGGCAAGGAAGAGCAGGTGTGTGTAAATTTTCCGATGCAGGGACTTTCCCCAGAAAAATCGAACTTGCTCGATATCTTATACAGAAGATTCGATAAGGCGGCGCAGCCTGGTATCGCCATTTCATTCAGTGGAAGAAGTCCCTATGCGTTTTGTTACAAGCTGGACCGACTTCCCTTTTCCCTAGTTGCACGAAATATCTGTCCTATATTTTCTATATATTTAACGAATATCCTACATTTGAAATATTTTCAAAACGTTTACTTTAGAAGATTATCCCTATAATATTAATATAATATTAGCTCCATGTGTTTTCATAATATTTTTCTACCAGATGTACGAAACATTTCGTTTCATTTTAATACAAATATTTCTTCAAATGTTATCTGCCGAATACGTTGTAAACGTTTCAAAAATATATAAAATCAAAATCACACGTTTTGCTCCCATAATGAAATAGCGGAACGAGAATATTACCGAAATTTCTCGTGTCTTTTGATACAAAACGAAGTGTCCGATAATAGTGGTGAAGTAAAAAATGTATTATTACGTGTTCATAAATTAAAAGATATAATTTCTATACGTGTTTATAAATTATTGGAACTAAATATGTCATCGAGATTTTTAAGAAATATTTCAGACATCGAATGAAATCTGCAAGTCTTAAAAAAAAATCTGTCGCTTGAGACATTTAGCAAAGATTACAAAGAAATATTTAGGAATTGTTCTAGGCTACTAGGGTTGCTTCCTTCCGTGTCAGGGTGTCGTTATTTACCATCCAAAGCTTCCTTTCGTCGTTTCTCCGTCTCGGACTCGAGTACGTCGAATATGGCAGCGCCGACGAGGAGGTAGGTGAACGTGCAGACGATCAACGTTAGGGTCCGGACGTTTTGCTTCTTCATTCTCTAGTGAGCCACATGCTCACTAGCAGGGCCTCGGCCCTAACTACTTGCATCGCTCAGAGGGATAGGGATAAGGGTACGGGGCCCATGACGCCTCTTCTTCCAAGTCTCCTGGACGATCGAGGGCAAGGATCCTCCTCGAGGTCGCCTCAGATCCGGGGGAGGACCTCCTCAGCAGAGAGTCCTCTCCGAGCCACTTCCGCTCTTCTGCAACGGACGCTCGTCCCTCCTTCGTCCTGGGACAGTCGTTGCGTCCTTATTAATATATAAACCCTCCCTGCGTATACGTCCTGCTTTCGAAATGGCCGATTAACCCTTTCGATACCACAGATGACTACGGTCACCCATCGCTATCCTATGGGTGGCTGGGACCACCCGTTGAAATTTAACACCGATTCGTAACTTTGGTCTAACTTTTGATCTCGTTTTTTGAAATCTTTTAACTTTTTCATTATGATGACCTGTCCGAAATGTAGCGTTGTATTTGCTACTCCGTATGGTGGAAGGCATTGCCACATCGAAAGGGTTAAACGTTAGGAGTATTCATGAAGTAAGGTAAAGAGCTCCCACTCTATGCGTCTCTACTCGGCGAGATACGGAAACGATTGGTTTTGCTTTTAGTAATCGTGTCTGAATGTCCAGAGGACATTAAGGGAGGAACGGACAGGCTATGCAATGAACCTCTCTGCCATTCCTCCGATCGATATAATTACTATCATCGCTGATATAGAAATTACCAAGCGAAAAGCATCCACATGATAGTAACTTTATTTCATGTTCCTTTCAGGGTGTTTGAGAATAAAAGTTTCCCTTAACCCTTTCACTGTGGATAATCTGCATACAGTGGAAAGAAAAGTCATGCCACGAGGGTGGATGACCGTATACGAACACCTAAAAAATTCGGGGGGGATTACCCTATTCCAATTATTAAAATATTGAGCATCTTCGGGCCCTTGGATTCACGGGATTTATATCTGATAACAGAACTTCAAAATTCAAAATCCCATGTGCAATACGACGGATAAACAATTTCAAATAGGTTATCATGAAAACGCGAATCTCACGGTTTTTGGGGTCGCCGAATCGGAACTTGATAAATAAATTTTATTCTAACTGCAGTAATAATTACTCTAACGACAATGAAATTGTGCCAGATGTAAATTTAACCACGGAGGATTTTCCTTTAGAAAGAAGTATTGTTTTATCAGCAAACAAATTTCCGGTAACAGTAAATGAATGTAGGAATTCGAAATGAGCCATACACGGTTTTTGTTTTCGCCAGGAAGGAATATTGCAACCGCAATTACAAGTTCTGTTGCGGCAGTTAGTCATACGTGTAGCTGCACATTTTCTCACCATTTTCAAGCGTCTCACATTGGCTGGAGGAAATAAAATCCTTTATTATGGCTGTCAATTAATTTTCGAAAGAGTAGGATATGTTCGCCAGCTCGATCGCCTGTTTCAGGATGAACGTAATAGTTCATCATGAACACATAGGTGGATTTAGTCGGGCTCACCTGTACCCTGGCCCCTGGCTCCCTTTGAGTCCCTCGAGTTCGACGCAGGTTTTGGCAGAATGATATGGCAGTGCTTTCGCTGCTCCCACTGCCACGCGGTCTCCATTCCTCGGCCTAGCGCGACACCGCTTTCAGTGCTCGCTGTCAAATAAGAGAAAAGCTTTATTATTGCCAGAAAATGCCATCGTGTATGTACTCTTTTTATTACAACGTAATTAACCCTTTGCGGTCGATGCCACCACAGCGGCGGCATTCGCAAGTCGTCGTACAAGTCGGCGCCGCCACCCTGGCGGCATGGTGTCATTAATGATAGTGAAACAACTTTTTGTAATTTATGCGTAGAAAATCAAAAAATCTGATTAGCCAAATTTTCTCCGACTAGCTGGTAATCCCATTAGAGAGATTTCCCGATCGCAAAGGGTTAATATATTATAACGATACCAATTGCGCCCATTTCATTGACGAAACTGATAGATATCCAAGCTTATTTTGTAATATATATTTTTTAAGATTTCCTTCGCCGCAGACACCGCGAGGATTTTTTCATCGTTAGGATGGTATTGACAGGTGTTGAGAAATTTAATCGATGTCGATTAAATAAAATTATGCTTAATATTTATGTTGATGTCTTTTACAGTCCACGTTGAGAATTAAACGAAATGATGCTTTACATACGTCATTTCAGTAATTTAATGATTAAGAGATCGACATAAAACCACAAAGGATTTTTTCATTGCCGGAATTTCATCTGAAAATTAATTGGATTTAATCCTTCATCTTCATTCCTAACTTATTGCAATTATTTTAAATTGGATTCACCTAGAAAATAATTTACATTAGGAAGGGTTATGTACTGTGAACGTGTGCATATATTTTCATGTAACGCCATATAGATTACGAAGTGTGCTTACATTATGCAATTTTTTCACGTCGCAAGATTTCACGTTTTCACAATAGGGGAAAAAGAAAAAGAGTATAGGAGGAGCGGGTTAAATCGCGAGGTGGAGGAACCAAGATTGGAAAAAGGGCCATCTTGGAGGAGATAGGGGGTAATGACGGCACCAACAGGAAGCGGGAAATTTCTCTCAATTTTCTCCTGGTGCGATCGGGAAAGATGTCCGCAAGGTCTCCAGGAAATGATGTCCTCACGGGGAAGGAAATCGAGCGGAAACTGCAAGCCGCTGCGCTTTTAATCCTGACCGAAGCTCGGCCGACTTATCGTCTCGTCTTAATGGATATCGAATCGATTAACCCAATATTCCATGGGACAAGAGAGAGAGAAAGAGGAAGAACCGGAAGTCGTCGACAGAAGCAGGAAACGACTCTCCTTATTCGCATAAGGTAGAAGGCGCCTCGTTCGTCTCTTCTAACGCGGAAAATCCGATTTAAAATTCCTTCGATGAATTATCCCAGCGAATTAACTCTCTCCCTTTTTCTACCATTACGCGAGTTAAGCGTAATCGGATGATCATCCAATCATCGACCCACGGTATGGCGGTCGTCGATAATGGGACGGAAAATTCCGGGGGAATTTTCCNATATATATTTATTTATTTATTTATTTCATCGTTCAGGGATACACGGTACGGTCGACTCAAATTAAGGATGTCTCGTTACTTCGAACCGAGGAAGTCATTAACGGAGTCGATACCTCACTTCGGTAGGTCTTCCGGACCATCGAAATAAATTGCACCGAGGGAAAATGGGTTTCGCCTGTTTTCAATATCGTTCTCGGAATTCTCTACGGTTTTTCGGGATTTTATGCCCATTCCTGCAGCACAGTTCGCTGGTCTCTTCCTAGATTTTCCGCTCGCCGGGCACGCGCGAAAAGTGTCCTCCAGGCCACTCTACACGTGGCTTCAAGAGGACTTTAATGCCCGGCCAGAACTGCTTATTGGGTCTCTACTTTGCCGAGCATGTACAATGTGTCCAAGGACTTACAGTACTTGGAACTTGTCAAGTGCAACGAGCTTATGTCAACCCGGGACTCGGTCCAAACCAATTTCTGCTAAACGCCACTTTAGATAGAAAGATGCGCGACCACGAGCTCTCTTGCGACTCGATTGTCTTGAAATTCATTTGCGAATCGAAGATGTATCCTCGGACAGAGATGGAAGGGGTAAAATGATATGAAAGGTACTAAGAAATTTTTAATCGATTTCTATAAAATAAATTCATCTATACCCTTTTGATTACTCAAGTGGTAACATAAGCTGGCGCGTCCCGTTTTATGTTTTACATTTATATTTATGTTGAAGACTTTTACAGTCTACGTTGAAGACTTTTACAGTCTACGTTGAGAATTATATGAACTGAATGTTATTATAAATACTTATTACAATCGTGGACTCGAGCAACAGGTATTAGGATGCATTCAAGGTTTTGCGTGTGATTTAATATCATCTCCGAGTGAAGAATATATTAACGCAACGTAAAAGTCTTTCCAAGATCGAGTTCTTTTTCTGGTCGTCCGAGAGCTTAAAGTCTCCGAGGAAATTTCAACTTTGAGGGAAAATCGAAACTTTGAATATTAAATCGGGGGAAACTCGAGCAGGCCGCGGATTATCTCGCGAGATCGATACACTCGCCCAGAAAGCTATTTTCATTCCATCGAAGATTCAACCCGATTATCGTGGGAATCGCGTTCGCAAGAGGAATTGCCGGGACCATTATTGATTTCATAATCGGCCACCGTTGGACAAAGGACTTTCATCAGAGCCAATTGGCGACGCACCTGCTCGCGAAAGCTGTTTCCCGAAAATTGTTCCAGGACGCGAATTAAAACTCAACTGCAAATTAAACCGCCACTGGCCAACCTCTGACCACAGGACGGAAATCCCATTTTCACGGTGCCCGGAGCTAATTTTCCCATGTGCAGCTTTCTGCGTGCACGAGGCTTGGCTTAACCGAATTCCCGACGAGCTTCCAAATAATTCATCAATTTTTTTTATTGTCAAAGTTAAGAGGTGAAGACGAAGACATTTTTGGAATGAAGCGGATAGAACATTGACGATAGTTGTATCTATACCTCTTACCTTTTCTTTAGAAAAACGACAAAGGTTACGACGAGCTTTCTGCATGTACGAGGCTTGGCTTAACCGAATTCCCCACGAGCTTCCAAATAATTCATTAATTTTTTATTGTGAATGTTAGAAGACGAAGACTTTTTTGGAATGCAGTGGATAGAAAATTGACGATAGTTGTATCTATACCTTTCCTTAAAAAAAAACGACAAAGGTTACAACGAGCTTTCTGCGTGTACGAAGCTTGGCTTAACCGAATTCCCCACGAGCTTCCAAATAATTCGTTAATTTTTTATTGTCAATGTTAGAAGACGAAGACATTTTTGGAATGAAGCGGATAGAACATTAACGATAGTTGTATCTATACCTCTTACCTTCTTTTTAGAAAAACGACAAAGGTTACAACGAGCTTTCTGCGTGCACGAGGCTTGGCTTAACCGAATTCCCCACGATCTTCCAA